TATATATATATATACATACATATATACATAATGTACGTAATATTTTAAATAACAATCATAAAAATAGTGTTAGATTTTGTAATAAAATTATAAAAAGATTATTTTACTTATAATGTTAATGAACGTAAATAAAAATCTATATTAAGATAGAAAATTATTTAAATTATAGGTAAAATGCCTAGGTTAAAAAATAATATATTATTCTATATAATATAAAAAGGTATTATATAGATGGAGAATTAAAAATGTTAAGGGCAAAATTGATATTATATAAGATAAGAGGGGGAAGAACGACTATTGTTTAAAGTTAAGGGTGAAGTTTGATTTTTAGAGCAAAGTTGAAGGGTATAATTGATTTTCACCCTTTATAAACTAAAGAACAGATATTAAAACGAAGGAAAATTACATAAGTTGTCACTCGACCTATGGTCCAAATCCTGCTTACACACTGTGGACCATAATAACCTTATACACGCAACCTTTCTAAAGTGTGCCTAGTACACATCTCCTTTGACCAGGTCTAAGCGTGTGTAATACAAACTAGACCAAGTGTATGGACAGTATTTCAAGACAATTTATGTCTTTAATAAATGGTCAAAAACACATTCCAACGATCCTTTTTAAAAGATTAAAAGGGCCTTAACCCATTTCTATCTATACTAGGACCCGATTTTCATTTTCTTCTTCCTCCTTGAAAGCTCTAAATTGAAGAAAATTTTATCTTCTTGAAGCCAAAATTTATTCCTCTTCTTGAAGCTTGAAGCCAATATTACAATCTTCTTCTATTTCTTCCTTGTCTTTTTTGACATAAGGGTTAAATTTCTAGGGCTCAATTGTAAGGTTTGAGAAAATGCATAATCTGAGAAAATTTTGCTATTGTGGTGAAGAAGCTGTGGTGATACAGTCATGGAGTGTTGATAATCCGGGTCGTCGATTTTACGGATGCCCATTTTATGAGGTAAATTTCAATTGTACTTTTCTAATCAATTTTATATTCCATAATAATTTTTTATCTTCAATTTTTCAGAGGGACAGTCGATCGGCATGTAATTTCTTTATGTGGTTTGACCCCCCAACTCCAGAGCACTTGAAAATGGTGATTTTGGGGCTGCTGAAGAAGAAGAGAGCATTTGATGCATTGTTGAAGGAAAATAGAAACCAAAGAAATTGGAGGAGATTGTGTGTACTGATTTTAATTGCAATTGTGTTAAAGTTGATTGTGTTAGGTAGTTCTAAAGATTGTTATATAATGTAAGAAAATGAATGAAGTTTTTTGGTAGATTTTGTATCTCTTTGTTAGAAATGAATGAAATCTTTTGGCAATTGTTAATGTTGTTTTGTTTGAATTTGTTGTTGTGTGAGTTGAATGATTTTTTTTGGCAATTGTTAATATTGCTTCGTTTGACTTTATTGTTGTGCGAGCTGATAGTGCAGTTAAAACACACCTCAAATTGTGACTGATAAAACACTGAAACATAGTCAAATAGTGGCTGATATACATCTCAAATGCTGAAATTTTCCAGAAATAATAGCATACAAAAATGACAGCACAAATGCTTAACAACATACCAAAATAACAGCATTCATACAACACTAAAGACACATCTGCCCAGAAATTATCAAACAACACTAAAAATATATTTCATCATAGAGTAAAGGTATTCATTACAGTCACCTAATAGCAGCATCCTACCTTAACAAAAATATACGCTGCCCAGTTTTACAGCATACCAAAATAACAGCAGGCTGCCTTAACAAAATAACAACACTAACAGCAAACCTAAATAGCAGCTCCAAATTAACCTAACAGCAGTTCCAAAATAAATTACAGTTCCAAAGGGAAATTACAGCAGTTCCAAAATAAATTAACAGTGACAATAACAGAATTTAGTGGTTGTTCTTGGATGGCTGGGATGATGAACTTACTTGACTTAAATTGGATTGAGATGCGGCAGTTCTAGAACGAGTTGCAGCAGTTCTTTCAAGTTATCTTCTAGTAATTGCTGGTCTACCATTCCATTTTACACCACTTTTTGGCTTGTATGCACACTCTAAAATATCTTCCAAGAACCTCTTTTCACCGCCATGAGAGACCACTCTTGGCTTACCTCCACCAGACTACCAAAAATAGAAAATATTTAGTAAAGTTGTTAAAGCAAACAAGATATAAAATTAACTTTGAACTACTTACAGAAAAACTTGTGAACCCATTGCTTGATTGAAATAGTCCAAACCTAGAACTTCCCCTATCACTACCAGTTCCTCTTCCTCTACTAGCAACAGTTCCTCTTCCTCTACCAGCAGCAGCAGGGGTAGAAGTAGTTGGAGTTGAAGCTCTGCCAACAGTTCATGTTCCTCTTGCTCTGCCTCTTCCTCTTCCTCCACATCTTTGTATATATGAAGCATTTGCTGGAGTAGAATCTGTAACAGAATATCTTTATAATCATAGAGTCTCTTGAACTCAACATGCACATCACTTATTATCTCCTTCAGAATTTTTGCTCTAGCTCTATGTACAGTAGACCTACCAACATACATTTCCAGTTCATCCTTAATGAGTTTCTTTAGCTCCCAAACTTTCACATTTGGTTGACACACAATCTTATCCCTGTAATGCTTTGCTAGGTATCTGGAGTTGCAAAGCTTATTTTTATTTGTTTTGTAACACTTGTGGACATGACAATACCTTTTTATCTTAAAATTGTTGGATCTGCCATCTTTGCTTGCAGCCAAGATCCATGGACATTTTGGATGCATGCATCTTACCCTCACCCTACCAGGTTCATTAATATACTTTTCAATTTGAACTCCTTTCTGAATCGCATACTTACTAACAACAAACCTAAATTGTTCAACACTCTCAAAAATCAGCCCTAACTCCCAAGTTATTTTTTTGACAGTTGGATCAAATATCAGTGTTTTCTTCCTCCTCTTGGCAGCCATTTTCTCCTTATGTTCTTCATCAAATTCTTCTTTAGCATCTGAAGGAAAACTTTCAGCATCTGAAGACCCAAAGTAAGGCTTATATGTCCCTACTAAGCCCGTGTACCTATCTTGCTTGCTACCAGTTCTTAATTCATCAAAACCAATATCAACTCCTGCATCACCTAGGTTAATATCACCTCTAGCTTTTGGCCTTTCACCCCCTTTCCTCCTATACTTCCTCAATTCATCCCTACACTCTACAGATTCTTCATGAACATCAGATCCATAATCCTTATCATCAGGAACATGTAAATCTACTCCATCACTCTCATCACTATCACTATTGTCAAAGACTGAATCATTCTCATTATCATCCTCACCTTCACTATTATCAAAGTTTGATTCACTATCTACTCTACTCTCTTGTTCTCTTGAAGGTGCAGGGGCAGGAGCAGGTTCAGGAGAAGGAGAAGGGGAAGGGGAAGGGGAAGGGATAGGTTCATGAGCAGGGGCAGATTCAGATTCAGATTGACTATCTTCCTCTTCTTCTAAGACAGTTGTGCTCTTAAAAGCTCCACTATTAGACCCACCAACCCCTTTACTAGCCTCATTTATGTCAACAACACATAAAGGGGCAGCATGAGTCACATAAATATCTAAGGTATCCCCATCTTCCAATTCATTACAAATGTCTAAAATATCCTTGTCTATGAGAATATTTACCAATTTATCTATCCTATCCATTGGACAAATATACAACTCAGCCACATTTTGAAAGTCATAGATCCCAGTGTAGTTCATCAGTTCAATAAGAGACAGTAAATCTACATCTACATCTAAAGTCAATGTTTGACTACCACCCACATAACGAGCAAAGTTACCAGGAACTAATACCCCATCATGGTACCACCTCAGGGTAATGATTTTAAAAGACATTATCTGCAAACAAATAAGGGACAAATAAATTGACTTTTCATATGCAACAATTGAAAATAAAGAACTACATATGAAATATAAAAGTGGAGACAAAGACAAGAGCATATCACATTGTTCAAAGTAATGCTATTACAATAATCAGTTAAACCCTAACTTTACACACGGTTTGCAAACACAAGACAAATCTTTTTTATATAAAAAACTATCTGTAAAGGCAACAAGACGACAACTTCACAGTGATATCGACAATGACAAAAGATTCCCCTTTTAAAAAGTCCGATAACCCTAAGCAAAGTAGAAGAAATTTCAAAAAAAAAACCCTAGGTTCAACCCACCCACTACTAAAATAAACGGATAATGCAAGGAGAAGAAAATTACTAACCTATTAACCGCATAAATCCACCGAAAATCCACGATGAAAATTGTAGCTTGAGATGGTCGCCGGAATCGCCTTTACAGTATCTCCTTCTAGATGTATCGGATTTTGAGTACTGACTTGGGTAAGTTTGGTTTTAACGCTTTTTACCTTGTGGGTCGGTAGGGTCAGTTAGGGTTGGGTAGGGTCGGGTTAGTTATTACTAGATACGCTTTAGAAAGGTTTCTTGTGTAAGGTTATTACCGTCCACAGAAAGTGTGTAAGGGGGATTTGGGCCAAAGGTTGGGTGGTAAACTATGTATTAAGCCAAACAGTTGCATATAAAATAAAATAAAGACGTTTTTCGGTACTGTGCATGTTGTCAACTGCCTTTAAGATTGTCTTACTTCAATTCAGATGTTAATTTATGATTTTTTTTAAAATGTCTCTCAACTCATGTTAGTTAATGTGCGCTGAACTCAATCATCCATGGCGAGAGGGAGGGGAAGAGGACGTGGAAGGACCAAAAAAAAGTTACAATCACTCATGTAGGAAGCTCGGTAAGCTTGTGAATTCAAGCGAAGGGAGATAGTAAAGAAAAAATTATACAAACACCAGATGCAGATCTAGAATCTAATACTAGGGCTCAATGGAGGAACACATGAGATGCATCTAGCTTAGGAGTCTCGAAAAAGCTAGACCTAACAACACCTCTATCGGCTACATGTCACGACCCAAAAACCACTATCATGATGGAACCTAACTTGACCCCCTAGGTAAGACAATTAAACAAAAGAAACAAACCAAATAACTTACCGAAAAAGAGGAAGTTAGAATTTATTTGAACTTTCACAAATTTACCAAAGAACTGGTAAGTCACGAGCTTCTAAGATTTGAAATTTCAAAAATGATACAAATAAATACACGTTCTGCTTGAAGATTACATAAACAGATTAACTGTGATCTAAACTACCAAGGACAAGTAGCAGTCATATCCAAACGCACAAACATCTTCCAAATCAGCATCCGACATCACCAGCAGCTCCGCTCCAAAATCTGCACGGGACGTGCAGAAGTGTAATATCAGTACAACCGACCCCATGTACTAGTAAGTATTTTGTCTAACCTCGTCGAAGTAGTGACGAGATTTTGAGTTAAAAGATGCCAATTATTATAACATGTATGTTAGTTTAACAGTAAAAGCAGTTCAAAGCATGACAGGTAGGAATATCACATACAACTCGGCGAAACAGTCAACAATTACTAAAAGGAACCATAGTAGAAGGTTTATGATCTTTCCTGGTACGAGAAGCATATCCAAAATGCCATGAGGCCTAAGATAAATCACAATATGGGTAGGAAGAATCATGTAAACCTTAGAACACATCATAGAATAAGAGAGAGACACACGACATAAACCTAGGCGTGAATATCATCCAGTCCGCCCGACGATATACATAGGGCACCAGTTGTGCAAGAGCAAGCAAATCCAACATGATATAGAATACACACCCTCACTGGGCTCAAAATAATCCCCAGACCAAATTCCGATCATCCTCAAACATGTAATAAACCTTCCAATAATTCTATAGCAACCTTTCCATAAAACCTATTATTAATCATCCAATCTTATACATTTCTTCACAACTCGCAACTAAGGAATAGTCTGCCAACAAGAACATTCAATCTCTGAGCCTCACGTATACCAAATTTTATACCCAGTATCAACACCGCTACTCAAATAGATGACACAAAATTCATACTCCATCATCTCATGGAGAAATACCCATAAGTCAAAACACGATGCACTTGTTAACAGGCGCTCCAGGGAAGATACATAGTGCCAGCAAAACCTTGGACACCCCAAATTGTTCGAGACATTAAGACCTCCTATCCTTCCCTCCAAAACTAAACCGCAACCTTGTACATGCACTTTTCAAATCCACACGGCGTATCGCCTATAACATGCTAACTCGCAATACTACGAAAATATCATAGCCAACTCTGAACCATAAGCAAATTGAACACCTTATCAACTGGGAATCTTTCATTTGACCCAATCCGGGAAAACACCACCATATGCAATATAGCCCGTATACCTGTAGAAACATCAACTCCGACCATAATCATAACCATGATGAATTCTTCGGAACTCATTAACACATAATCGTGGTATCAGAACCAATCGCCTCTCACATAAATGAGTCACACAGACTGACAACCCGAAAATAACTCAATCTAATACGCCCACCCTGAGGGGACCTCCTGGGAACCCTAAGCCATTTCTTGCATCACCTCAGTATTGACTTGTAGACCTTTCTTGACAAGGAAATACCATGAATCCGATTACTATTCACTGCCACATAGACAAATTCAAAAGTCCCTAAATCTACTCATCTTATTCTGATATTCAATATGCAGCTAATATGCGTTGAGCAACCTATGCTTCACCAGCATGTGCCCATTCAAAGGAATAACCATGAAATCTCTCGGTCTGGAAATTGATACGGCCCATGATCTTACAATCCGATCGTCATTAGCAGCCTCCACCACTTAGCTCGGAGTCATAGAACACCTCAGCAGCAACCCAAAGTAATACATCTCCACAGCATGCCTCGATACTACTATTTAGCTGAATACTTCAAAAACTCACACAATACTGATTATAGAACACCCCGAAGACTCTGACAAGCGCTTACCCATCTTTATAACAGTCTGGCCACCAACCAATCTACCCAAATTTGTGCTCACCAACTAGACATATGAATTCGCCTCCTACCACAAATGAACGACTAGAAGATGTAACACTGTTTCTGCTTCTGAGGATATACAACACATTGTGATGATAATCAAGCATCCATAGCCCATCGTAATCCATCTTCATCAACACCGATCGTTGGCACATAGCGAATACTGAGCACATAACATCATATATGAGTGATCGGGAAGAATCAAAGTCGTAGATTTCAAGCTGAAGAAAAGCCGCACGATAAAAAGGGAAGAAAGGGAAATTTTTCCTAAATGCCCTGTAGCCTCCCGAGGATAGGTATGGACGTCATCATACCGATCTGCAGGACTCTACTATGCACTTGCTCATGACTTGTAGAACCTACGAACCTAGTGCTCTGATACTACCTTGTCATAATCCAAAAACCACTGTCATGATGGCACCTAACTTGACCCGCTAGGTAAGCCAATTAACCAAAAGAATCAAACCAAATAACTTAGAGAAAAAGAGGAAGTTATAATTTATTTGAAATTTCACAAATTTTCCCAAGAACTGGTAGTACAAGTCACGAGCTTCTAAGATTTGGAATTTTAAAAATGATACAAATAAATATACGTTCTGTTTGAAGATTACATAAATATATTAAAAGTGATCTATACTACCAAGGACAAGTGGCACCTATATCCAAACGCATAAATGTCTTCCAAATCAGCATCCGACATCACGAGCAACTTCGCTCTAAAATCTGCAAGGACGTGCAGAAGTGCAGTATCAGTAGAACCAACCCCATGTACTAGTAAGTATTTTGTCTAACCTCATCGAAGTGGTGACGAGGTTTTGAGTTAAAAGATGCCAATTATTATAACTTGTACGCTAGTTTAACAGTAAAAGCAGTTCAAAGCATGACAGGTAGGAATATAACATACAACTCGGTGAAACAGTCCACAATTACAAAAAGGAACCATAGTAGAAGGTTTATGATCTTTCCTGGTATGAGAAGCATATCCAAAATATCAAGTCGCATGGCACGGTAACACCCTTCGCACTTCTATCTCATCCTCACCATATATAAATAAAGTTATGTAACAATTCAATTAGCACGGCAACATCCTTCGTGCGTTCAAGTCATCTTTCCAAATGATCGTATAACAGAACCAACCATATGATAGAAATACAATAACAGGGATTACAAAGTAGGGAATATGCAAGTAACAACCGTGGACAAGGATATACATGTAGGCAACAATAATGAACACGTGAGTAATAACAACTGGAAAGAAAGGAATGTCATATTTAATTAACTAGCATATTAGAGGCTTAAGTACAATCATAACAGTTAAGACGGGCACACATGATCTTTTCATGTTAACAAGTAAGGGCATGAATGGCTAGCATGGTGAAAGACTTAAACTAAAATGCAACAGAATAGACACATCATGAATATGATTATAAAACCAGGAAAATAGGCACGGTATTCGCAAGTTGAGCAAGTAAGAGACATGGACAGTGCAACAACAATTGAGATAAAGGTCAAGTATAGGACAATAACAACAAGTCATACAAAATACGTAAATACAATAGTAACTGTCACACCTCCTTTTTCGCTCGCGCCCCGCGAAGGGACGCGGAAGGGAGTTTTTTCCAATTAAAGGAAAATCGAAACGGAATTTATTTATTTATTTCAGAGTCGCCACTTGGGAGATTTATGGTGTCCCAAGTCACCGGTTTTAATCCCGAATCGAGGAAAAGAATGACTCTATATTACAGTCCGCAAACCAGAAATCCGGATAAGGAATTCTATTAACCCGGGAGAAGGTGTTAGGCATTCCCGAGTTCCGTGGTTCTAGCACGGTTGCTCAACTGTCGTATTTAGCTTAATTATCTGATTTTATACAATTATGAACTTATGTGCAAACT